GACGAAAGCGACAACTTATCTATCAGCTTGTACGAGAGGGCCTTTTGGAAACGAGAAGGCAGGCGTCAACACGTTGGTGTTTAATGCTCCAGTTAGGGGACCTGATTGTGGGCCTGAGTGAGGACCGCAAAAAGTCCTTACACTGTTCCTGCGCTCATCCCATTTAGGTGACCGCCAAAGTAGCCCAGAGTATGGGATGGTGAGGTTACAAATAACTTTTTCAGTCCACGCCTAGGGTGGAATGGCAAGCATTTAACTTGTCGCCGAATGGATGAGGATTTTGAGCTCCCTGTGGTGGCTTGGTGTGGTGTGTGTTGTTGGTGTTTGTTGGTGGTGTGTTGTGTGGTGGGTAATTTACAAGGGCAGGACTCAAAACGGGGGACAAAGGACGATCTAGGAGTAAGGAAGATTTGAGGCATTGGTTTGCTAGTTGGATGGGTGCAAAAAGGAGGACAAAACTCGGCCTTGATCCCAAGTGGTCGGGTGAGATGTGATTCCAAGCATGTCATCTGTGTGGCCACTGTTGTGGGGTTGCTGTGTGCGCGCGCGCTCGGCTTACGCCTCACCACACGCGCCGTGGGACTCCCGGGTTGCTCAACCGCGGGCATCTGAAGAGGGAATCCCAAATGAATTCCGCACATCTCCAGAAACCCCATTCTCTTAGGCGGCCCCCGTCTAGTATTGGGTGTTAAGAGACCTGCTGACATTCGAATTGGATTATACTAAACACCAGAAGGGAGCGCTGTGTGTACTCTGTTGTTGCCTGACTATCGCCTCATGGAAGGCAAAACAGTTCAACGATTCATAAATGTTCGCTCCTTCTGATCTTTATACGTGCTACCTACATGCCATAATTGACTTTTTTTTGTAAAAGGCGCCACAAAACTCTTCAATTATCAGAGAAAAAAAAGAAAAACCTCTGCGACGGGGTTTCGGTGTCCAACTCAGGACAGTGGCCGGGTTGGAGGAACATTTGGGGGTTCCCTAAACAGCATGTCCCCTTGGGTGGAGTTCATGCGGGCTGCCAGAGTGTGAGCGAGCCTGCGTCCTGGGCCGGCCGTCTGGGCCTGCTCCGGCCAGGCCGGTTGGTTTGGACAGGGCTGCGCGACGTTGGGTCCGCCACTGACCTGTCTCTTGTCTCCCGCAGGGCAAGGCCCCTGTGGTGGCGGTGGACCCCTGGCCAACCGCGACGGCCCGCCGGCGGCGCTGCCGCGCCTGGCATGGCGCCGGTACCACTGGAGCCAGGACTGCGACGGCTGCCCGCCGCATTAACACCGGGAGTGCCGCGGCCGGGCCCTGGGGCGCCCAGCACCCGCGTACGTTGGGGCTTTTGTGCTGGCGGCTGTCGCCCTCCCGGAGGGCCCTGCCAGTTGTTTAGGCAAATGCGGAGCTTTGCTTGGAGGACAGCTGTTTAGTAACGCGTTCGTTAACGCGACCCCGGGGCCGGCCACGTGGCACTGCAGCGAACCCGAGGGGGCGACCCTTAGTGTTTTTTTTTCGCCCCCACGGGTGCAGGCAGCAAAGGCAAAAGAAACCTTGGAGAATCCTCTCTGGGGCCTAGATCTTGTGGTCTGAAATTCATGGGTGAGCCAGTCGCATTCGTGCCTGTCACTCACTTGCCACGGTCTCGCGCTCCTCTTATCTCTGAAACCCTGGAGGTCCCCACTTTAGGATGGGGAAGTAGCATAGGTTATAAGTGGGGCTGGTTCAAACTTTTTAAAAAAGATTGCCCACTCCCTTATGTTAAAATTTTGAAGAAACCATGCAACCCTCACCCTCCTCCCACCCCCAGGCACACACACTTTTTAAGTTGACATCTGCACTTTTTTATTACAAATTTAAACAGTTGCTAAGGATTAGTTACTAGGGAATTGTAACAGCAGTAACGCTTAAAAAATAATGCATCTAAACACCCTAGCAATTTGATACCCACCATCATTCATTATAAAATGCACTGATTGTACATAACTGTTGGAAGTTTTACAGATTCTCTTCTCTCCTTTGATTTGTATCCATTCCATCTTCCCCACAGAATTTCATCCTAATATATTTTTATGCTTAGAGATCTTTTACTAACCAGTCTTTCATATTCATTTACATTAAAATATACCCTTATTTGAAATGTTAGTTTTTAGAAACCTTGTGCTATGACTCAAGGTTCTCAGGCTTGAAAACATTTCTTCTAGACCGAGCTGTCACAGTTGGTCAAAAATAAATAATTCTATTTTGCTATATTATAATCATAAAAGTAAAAGCTTTTTGAACTTTATAATGAGTGGGATTTTTTTCCAATTCATATATTCATGGTTGATATTATTGCTAAGGAGAGACTTTTGTTATAGGAGTATCCTTCAATTCTTTAGTTACCTTGCCGACTTATATGTCTAAGATCACCTAGTGATGTGATAACAGAAGTTATTTTTAATGATCTATCAGTGGAGAACTTATTCATCCTTAATTTTGTTGAAAGTAAAAATAGAAATCCCTTTGACTTACAAAAAGTATTTCTTAGTGTCATTTCTTTCCAACTTCTAGGAGGTATAACAAAGCAGGTTTTTCAAGACATAACAAGTGATTATTATAATCATTAATCATTCAATTAGAGGCACCTAGTTTTAACCCCAATATACTTGGACAGAGTTGGAAGAATAAAATATTATTCATTTCAATCCATATTGAGGAGTATGTCCATGACAGAGTCTAACTTGACAGTCCTTATTATGAAATGCCTTGACTGAACCAAACATGCTTTCTCTTGGAAAAAGTCTGACTTGATTTTTTTAATTATTAAAATAAATCTCCCCATTATAGTCAACTCCCTCTGAATTCTGATTCTAAGATGGACAAGGCCCAGAGCCTTTCCTCAAGTTTGTCACCTGCATGTCACATCCAGGTTTCTGATGGATGTCCTCTCTGCCTTGCACCTTTGGAAGTGATGCATTCTTGACAGCAGGTGGAGGATAGCAGTGAAGAGGTAGATGAATGACAATTTCACTCCTGCCCCACCTTGCAGTATATTTGAATTCAGGACAATTCAACCTTGTCCCAAATGCCCCTTTCTGTTTCCCTACTTTTGCCTTTAATAGATAGAGAAAAATAGAATCTGTACCAGGTGTCTAAATGCAAAGATTTGCCAATACCAATATTTCGCTTGTCATTTTGTTTGGTATATAGCAGGATTTGGGGGGTAACAAGTTACTTTCTTTCATAAAGTGAGATTGTGAAAGGAGAAAGGAGAGGAGAGCCTACAGGGTGTTTTTGGCAGGTCAGTATTCCCAAAGAGTCATGTGGAAGTCAAATGTATGAAAATGAATGCCCTTAACCTTTTATATGCCTTAGCCCTCTTTTTGAGGGCTTCTCAGAACCTTCTACATTGTGTTCATCTTTTAAAAAGCTGTTTGAATTAAATGAGTTATTATTAATAGACTTAACTGAGCTTTTGTGAGTATAGTTTCAAGGCAAATTAAGATGTTAGATTAGGTAGCGGGTACCTTCCTCATTGAGCCAAATTGCAGAAATCGGAATGTACTTCTACCTGACTTTGTACAAAGAAAATTTAATTCCTTATTTTCGTGTTTTATTCATGAAAATAAATCAGAGTTGCTACTGATTTCAGGAGTAATTGTGGTTTGGGCTCCAGCCAATAGCCTGATTATATATCATGGTGGCCTGTGTTCCCCACTGGGCTCACTAAAGGGTCATCACATGCTGCTACAATAGAACCAGTAGACATAGGAGACCTGAGACACCCCATGTTTTGATAACATAGTTTTGAGGAATGTGAGAGTTAAGCTTACTAACGGGATCAACTCCTGCTTTCAGCCCTGTGGATCAAGGCAGGGCTCCAAAATCTATTCCACACTTGTGTTCATAAATAGTTTTATGGGAGCACCCAGCCACATTCTTTTTTTTTTTTTTTAACATATTGTCTGTGACTGCTTTGTACTACAGGTAGTTGCAGCAGAGACTGTAAGGCCTACAAAGCCTCAGATATTTACTGTATGGCCCTTTACAGACCCCTTCTGGTGAGCTTAATCTCAGTATGAGTGTTGACGTGTGAACAAAGTTTTCTCAATTAAAAAAAAAAAAAAAGGAACCCTGCCAGTCTCTTTCTCTGAAACCAAGGGCTGGTATCAAACTTTTTCTGTAAAGGGCCATACAGTAAATATCTGAGGCTTTGTAGGCCTTACAGTCTCTGCTGCAACTACCTGTAGTACAAAAGCAGTCACAGACAATATGTTAAAAAAAAAAAAAAAGAATGTGGCTGGGTGCTCCCATAAAACTATTTATGAACACAAGTGGTGGAATAGATTTTGGAGCCCTGCCTTGATCCACAGGGCTGAAAGCAGGAGTTGATCCCGGTTAGTAAGCTTAACTCTCACATTCCTCATAAACTATGTTATCAAACATGGGGTGTCTCAGGTCTCCTATGTCTACTGGTTCTATTGTAGCAGCATGTGATGACCCTTTAGTGAGCCCAGTGGGGAACACAGGCCACCATGATATTATAATCAGGCTATTGGCTGGAGCCCAAACCACAAATTACTCCTGAAATCAGTAGCAATTCTGATTTATTTTCATGAATAAAACACGAAAATAAGGAATTAAATTTTCTTTGTACAAAGTCAGGTAGAAGTACATTCCCGATTTCTGCAATTTGGCTCAATGAGGAAGGTACCCGCTACCTTAATCTAACATCTTAATTTGCCTTGAAACTATACTCACAAAAGCTCAGTTAATGTCTATTAATAATAACTCATTTTAATTCAAACAGCTTTTTAAAAGATGAACACAATGTAGAAGGTTCTGAGAAGCCCTCAAAAAGAGGGCTAAGGCATATAAAAGGTTAAGGGCATTCATTTTCATACATTTGACTTCCACATGACTCTTTGGGAATACTGACCTGCCAAAAACACCCTGTAGGCTCTCCTCTCCTTTCTCCCTTTCACAATCTCACTTTATGAAAGAAAGTACACTTGTTATCCACCCCAAATCCTGCTATGATACCAAACAAAATGACAAGCCGAAATATTGGTATTGGCAAATCTCTTGCATTTAGAGCACCCTGGTACAGATTCTATTTTTCTCTATCTATTAAAGGCAAAAGTAAGGAAACAGAAATGGGGCATTTGGGACAAGGTTGAATTGTCCTGAATTCAAATATACTGCAAGGTGGGGCAGGAGTGAAATTGTCATTCATCTACCTCTTCACTGCTATCCTCCACCTGCTGTCAAAGAATGCATCACTTCCAAAGGTGCAAGGCAGAGAGGACATCCATCAGAAACCTGGATGTGACATGCAGGTGACAAACTTGAGGAAAGGCTCTGGGCCTTGTCCATCTTAGAATCAGAATTCAGAGGGAGTTGACTATAATGGGGAGATTTATTTTAATAATTAAAAAAAATCAAGTCAGACTTTTTCCAAGAGAAAGCATGTTTGGTTCAGTCAAGGCATTTCATAATAAAGACTGTCAGTTAGACTCTGTCATGGACATACTCCTCAATATGGATTGAAATGAATAATATTTTAATTCTTCCAACTCTGTCCAAGTATATTGGGTTAAAACTAGGTGCCTCTAATTGAATGATTAATGATTATAAATAATCACTTGTTATGTCTTGAAAAACCTGCTTTGTTATACCTCCTAGAAGTTGGGAAAGCAAATGACACTAAGAAATACTTTTTGTAAGTCAAAGGGATTTCTATTTTTTTACTTTCAACAAAATTAAGGACTGAATTAAGTTCTCCACTGATAGATCATTAAAAATAACTTCTGTTATCACATCACTAGGTGATCTTAGACATATAAGTCGGAAGGTAACTAAAGAATTGAAGGATACTCCTATAACAAAAGTCTCTCCTTAGCAATAATATCAACCATGAATATATGAATTGGAAAAAAATCCCACTCATTATAAAGTTCAAAAAGCTTTTACTTTTATGATTATAATATAGCAAAATAGAATATATTTATTTTTGACCAACTGTGACAGCTCGGTCTAGAAGAAATGTTTTCAAGCCTGAGAACCTTGAGTCATAGCACAAGGTTTCTAAAAACTAACATTTCAAATAAGGGTATATTTTTAATGTAAATGAATATGAAAGACTGGTTAGTAAAAGATCTCTAAGCATAAAAATATATTAGGATGAAATTCTGTGGGGAAGATGGAATGGATACAAATCAAAGGAGAGAAGAGAATCTGTAAAACTTCCAACAGTTATGTACAATCAGTGCATTTTATAATGAATGATGGTGGGTATCAAATTGCTAGGGTGTTTAGATTGCATTATTTTTTAAAGCGTTACTGCTGTTACAATTCCCTAGTAACTAATCCTTAGCAACTGTTTAAATTTGTAATAAAAAAGTGCAGATGTCAACTTAAAAATGTGCCTGGGGGTGGGAGGAGGGTGAGGGTTGCATGGTTTCTTCAAAATTCTAATAAGGGAGTGGGCAATTTTTTTAAAAGTTTGACCACCCCTATACTATCCTATTCCCTCCTAAGTGGGGACCCCAGGGTTTCAGAGATAGAGGAGCCCCAGAGACAGTGGCAAGTGAGTGACAAGGGCACGCGTGCCGACTGCTCACATGAATTTCGAAGAGTCTAGGCCAGAGAGGCATTCTCAGGTTTTGCTTGTGCCTGCACCGTGGGGAAAACTAAGGGGTCCCCCCTCGGGTTCCTGCAGTGCCACGTGGCGCCCCGGGGTGTTAACGACGCTGTTACTAAAGCTGTCTCCAAGCAAAGCTCGCTTTGCCCTAACTGCAGGGTTCCGGGAGGGCGACACGCGCACAAACCCAACCGTACGCGGGTGCTGGGCGCCCAGGCCCGGCGCGCACTCGGTGTTGCGGCGGCAGCACTCGCAGTCCTGGCTCCAGTGGTACCCGGCCATGCAGGCGCAGCGCCGCGGGGCCGTGCGGTTGCCGGGGTCCACGGCCACCAGGGCCTTGCCTGCGGGAGACAAGAGACAGGTCAGTGGCGGCCACGTCGCGCAGCTGTCCAACACCCCGGCCTGGCCCGGAGCCGCCTGGCACCCCGGCCTGGCCCGGAGCACCCAGACAGGCCGCCAGGCTCGCTCACAGCATGAATCACCAAGGACATGCTGTTTAGGGAACTCCCAAGTTCCTCCTGGCACTTCCTGAGTTGGCACCAACCCGTCCCAGGGGTTTTTTTTTTTTCTCTCTGATAATTAAGAGTTTTGTGGGCTTTTAAAAAAGTCAATTTGCATGTTGGTAGGACGATAAGAACGAGGGAATTTATGATCGTTGAATGTTTTGGCTCATGCAGGATAGTCAGACAGAGTACACAGCTCCTTGGTGTTTAGTATAATCAATTCGAATGTCACAGGTCTCCTTAACACCAATACTAGATCCGACCTAAGAGAATGGGGTTTCTGGAGATGTGGGATTCATTTTGGGATCCTTCAGGATCCCGGTGAGAACGGGAGTCACGGTGTGGTGAGGTAAGCGAGGAAAACCCACAAGTGGCCCCAGATGACATGCTTGGGAATCACTCTCCCCAAACACTTGGGATCAGGCATTTGTCTCTTTTTGCACAACACATAGCAAAATGCTCATCTTCTTACTCTAGATCTCCTGTCCCCTTTCAGTTCTGTTGTAAATTACACACACACACACACACACACACACACAGAGTCAATCCTCATCATTCGCAGATTCATGCTTGCAAATTCACCTAGTGGATGAAAGTTATTTGTAACCTCAGAATCAATACTCTGGGCACTTTGCGGTCACTCATGGATGAGCCCAGAACCGTGTAAATTTTGAGTCACTCCACACTCAGGTCCCTAACTGGCATTAAACCAGGTGACGCCCTGCCTTCTCGTTTCAGCTCTCCTACTGTAGATAAGTGTCCTTCGTCCAGTCTATCCTCTGGTGCCATGTTTTTCTCATTTCTTTTTCTTTTTGTTGGTGATTTCCCTGTGTAAAACAACCCCCAAGAGCAGTGCTGAAGTGCTTTCTAGTGTTCCTGAGAGGAAGGAGGCCCTGACGTGCCTTGCAGCGAAAACACATGTGCTAAATAAACTTTGTTCAGGCGTGAGTTACAGCGCTGTTGGCTGTGAGTGCCGAGTGCTAACGAATCGACTCTACATATCACATAGGTGTCTTTAAACAGAAACACACATGAAACAAGGTTATGTGTAGATCAGTGGATGAAAATATTGTGACAGGAACCTAACCTAAGCCTGTATTTCCCCTAGGAGCAACGGTTCAGGATTTGCTAATTCAGTGTTTGTGGTGACTTTACAGAACATAACTACTGTGAATAACAAGAGCCCACTGACATGCACACATGATACAAAATGGCAACGCATTTAAAACAGACCTGATAGCCCTGTAGGACTCCGTCTCACCTGGACTGTCCAAATGGTCCTAGTACCTTCTATTTTAGTACTTACAGGAGTTCCAAGGGAAAAAACAAACCAGAAATCTGCTCCCCCCTTCATTGTCTCAAGTTACAGCCAGCAGGGAGGGGACAGTTCCTATTTCTGCTCATATTAGACTCACACATGGTGAACCTGGAGACGTCCCCATGCCCTTCAGCGCCCACTTTCCAAGGCCCAGGTCAGCTTTGCAGCCCCAAGGCCAAAATGCAGAAACATATACCTAACACATGGGGACACATATAATAGACACATGCCACTTTTCAGGAAAATTCTAAGTACTCCCAGGATCCCACACAAATGTAAGTGAATATAAGCCTGTGGGGTGATGAGTAATTTTGACATGTTTTAAAATATCTTAATACATCAGGTTTTAATCAATGTTGGCAGTAGACAGAATGAATCTTTATTTCCAAGAGACAGCAATGAGTCAAGGTCATTACTAAGCAGTGGGAAATAAAAACTACTTGATCAGATGCTTCTGCTCAGTGGAGTTTCCACGTTACCTTCTCCAGCCAAAATCTGCCAGCTATCTCTAGCCCATTAGAAAAATTATGGTGTTAAAAGCGATACTCAGTTCCTAGTTCTGTCCAATAAAAAAAAATCTATAAATAAGGACCAGTCCAGTAGCAAGGAGTCTCCCTAGTACCAGGCTGAGGTCACTAAATAAAATGTTTCACGAAAAGCCATCAGGAATATTCTGCGTTTCCTCTATGCACTGCACTTCAGGGTAACAAAGAGTTGATGGGGAAAGTGTCTCTTTCTAATGCATGCCAGCCAATAAATGAAGACGAAATAAGAGAATGAGAACATCAACTTTCTGCATCCCCTAATAAAAATGGATCCATGGCCGGGCGCGGTGGCTCACGCCTGTAATCCTAGCTCTTGGGAGGCCGAGGCGGGCGGATTGCTCAAGGTCAGGAGTTCAAAACCACCCTGAGCAAGAGCAAGACCCCGTCTCTACTATAAATAGAAAGAAATTAATTGGCCAACTGATATATATATATATAATTAGCCGGGCATGGTGGCGCATGCCTGTAGTCCCAGCTACTCGGGAGGCTGAGGCAGAAGGATCGCTTGAGCCCAGATCTTGAGGTTGCTGTGAGCTAGACTGACGCCACGGCACTCCCTCTAGCCTGGACAACAAAGCGAGACTCTGTCTCAAAAAAAAAAAAAATGGATCCAGACCATGCTCATTAGCAGCTGCTAACATCACAAAGAGAGACAGCAATTGTTAATATGACCCCAACATTATATCTAAGAACTGTATTATGTTGTGGAGTTTTCCAAAAACAAAACAGAACAAAAAGAAAGCACAATGTGATTGGCTTTTCTATATCTAACAACGCAATTTACAGGAAAATCCAGGGGACAGAAGAATATGTTAAATGACACCAAAGGAGACGCAACTTGGCAAAATCCAGATTGTGGAAGCTCCATGGGACAAACCAATGTGGGTTCTTTCAACAAATAAAACCAAACGGAAAAAGGAAAAAAACAACAGAAGAAAGGAACCTCTAGCTTAAGAAGCTTCAGAGATGTATTTTGATCTCTGATTCCTATGATAAATTATAATGTAAAAAAACATTTGAAGGCAAAAAAGTTATGACATTCTGGTAACGGGAGAATGAAACTGCAAGAGTTGAATAACAACATTTATAGTTTAGGAAAAAAGGTGGTCAGAGTCCAGAAGACTAATACGGTTTTGAGGTCCTGCTTCTCACTCTGTTTAACCTTTGGAGAATTTATCAACCTCTTCCTAAGTCTGCAGTTTATCCAACTATAAACATCAGGTTAATTATGGAGACCTCAACCAAAGGTTTAGGAAAGAAAGCCATGCTGGGTAACATCTGTAGAACAACAATTGTGTCACACTGGTAACGATGTGTGTCCATGATTGAAACCTGCAATATGAACACCATCTACGAACAAACAATTCTAAGTGAAGACTTTTAACACAGGGCTTCAGGGGTTCTAAAACACATCCTTGCTGGGGCTTTTTAGTACAGAGCTTCTTCCTCGTGCTCCACCCAAAAGAACATCATACGGCTGTATCTAAAAATGTGTATGTAGAAGAGGAGATCAAGGCCGGTGTAGTGGCTCATGCCTGTAATCCTGGGAGGCGCAAGGAAGGAGGGGCTCGCGCTGAAGGGTCAGGAAGTTCAAAACCAGGGCGAGCAACAAAGCGAGACCTTATCTCTGGCTAAAAATAGAAAAATGAGCCCAGGTGTGGCCACGCGCCTGTAGTCCGCCCAGCTACTTGGAAAGGGTGAGGCCAGAGAATCGTTTGAGTCCAGGAGTGTTGATGTTGATGTGAGCGAGGCTGATGCCACAGCACTCTACTCAGGACAACAGAATAAGACACTGTCTCAAAAAAAAAAAAAAAAAAAGAAAGAGGAGATCAGACGGACAAAAGACAAACATTGGGTTTCCACCCTTCTCACTGACACATTGGTGTCACCAACTCACCTGTGTCACAAACTTTATGCAGCAAGCATTTATCTTCTTCATTCCAGGTGTCCAAGTACTCGTCCCGGCCACAGGGCAGACATACACTGTCAGAGGTAGTAGTGCACTTAGAAGACATGTACTTTCCTTAAATTGGAAGGGGAAAAATGTACCAATCAAAAAACAAAAACCAAACAACACAAAGCAAAATGACAACAAGAATAGCACCAATCTATTGGACCCACTTTCATGCCCATGATCCCAGGAAGCCCCGGAAGACGATGTGACATGTGAGACGAGGCCACAGCGCATGGTCCATGTGGCACCCCGGCTCCTCAGCTGGCTACATACCCTGCCTGGGTTGCTGAGCCTGCGGTCATAGCAGTCTCTCAATTCTTCCAAGTAAAAGACCAACCACTCTTTGCACCCAAAAACTCTGCTAAGGAGTAGAGCTATGATTTTAAATTAGGGCATGCAAAACTTGAGGGGTTCCCTGGAGGGGGGCTAAGCAAAAGGAACTTCATTACCCCTCTCCCCCTCCCATTTTCAAACTCCCCCCTGCTTTCAATCTGGGTAGTTCACTTCTTGTGTCCTACACACGCTATGGGCTCATGGTTAACTTGGTTTGACTAACAATCTGTCTCACACACATGCTTTAAAAAAACACTGGATCTTGGTTCTGCACATCCAAGAAATATTTGTAGCTGAAATATCCAAAGGGTCTTGTTATAAGGTAACCTGCCCATCTCTCCCCTCCCCAGAACAAAGAACTGGGGACGTCACCGTCACCGGGGCGGCAGAAATACTTGGCCACACGCCTGGCAGAGCGGCTTTGGGGAAAGTGGTGGCCAGGCCACCTTCTGTTCCTCTGCAAGCATGTGGGAGAAGGTCTGATAAGAGTTTCAGCAATTTTCAGCAGCAACAATTCCAGTAGGGTTATTCCAAAATAAAATGTCCAGGAAAACAATTTTAACCAAGAGTGGCATTTTACATTTTGAGAGTTTGAATCATAAAGTGCTAAAATATGGTTTTAAGAAAACTTCTTGCTGTCTCAGGAAATAGTGTTTTAGAAAATTGTGTTTTAGTACAAATTAAGTACTGGTTTCTATAACTGCTTTTGATCTTTAAGTGATTTTATTTTCTTGAGAACAAAAAAAAAGTGTTGTCTTTTTAGTGACAGACAATACCACTTGCCACTGCCATGAAAAGTCTATCCAATTTCTTTTTTCATCTGGCATGACAGAAAAAAAAAAAGTAACAATGAAAGCCTCACCCACTTTTGAGGGGCAGGGAGCGGCGCAGAAGCGGGTGTACCTGGTTCGCATTTGCTGCAGCATCGCCCTAGACGCTCGTAACGCCTCTCGCTGGGACACAGAGGAGAGAGCTGCACGGTCACCTGAAAAGAACAGCGACATCAGCGATTACACACAAGTTCTTTCTGGATAAAATAAAAAATGAATCACCAAATTGCATTTCTATAAAGCATAAGAAAATACCATAAAACAGTTCTGAAACCGCTCTAATGTAATATCACATCCAAAAATGTCACGTTCCTATTCCTGCCCATTTCCCCCTAAGAATGTATAAAACCAACATTTTAGCCCAGGGCTGGAAACCTGTTTTAAGCATGAAAACCCATTTAAATAGTTAAAACCATTTCAGTAGCGCTCGTGGTAATTTGATGGATTAAGGGAAATATACAAATTATACACCGAAAGTTAAAAAACCGGCTTTGCACAAGCCACAAACAAAACTGGTCCCACTACTCCGGAGTCAGGTGGTGGACAATACACTCAGTCTGCTTTGGTCACGAAACCATAGGAACAGAATGACGCTCTGTAGTATGATTATACCAGGGGATGTCAGATTTGGTGCCAGGAGCTCTCTCTGAATTTTAAAAAATACTTACCTTTTCAAATGTTAAACATGCAGAGAATTTTTAAAAAGTGCTGAGAGGCGAGGTTTTGCAGGAGCTTCCTGGGCTATGTCCCAATTGTCTGCTACCTGAGGACTCTTGAGCAAGCTGCCTAAACTTTTTGAGCCTCCAGTTCCCTTTCTGGTTCAAAATAGTGTGATTCTAATGTAAATACTAATCTCTGAATCTGCCCTCTAAGTAAAACAAAAAAAACCAAAGCAGCCCAGGCCACTGTAATCACCGAGAGATTCTTATCAGTTTGCTGCAGGAAAGCTCTTTTCCTCATCAGCGTTCTCAGAGTGAGAAAACAACAGCCCTGCCGATAAGCAGACATGCTAGAGACTGAGCAGTGAAACTGAAGAGCTGGGTTTAGCTGAGCAGACATCAGTTCATGCACACAACAGTCAAGTTCTGGCTGGGTCCCTGGGTGCGAAACGATGAACCTTACCCTCAAGGGGTTTAAGGTCCAGTGGTGAACATGCACCAGCGTGGCTGTCACAGCGTGGCAGCCAGGAAAGGTTTCCCAGCTAACACCCCCCAGGGACCCAGCCAACATGGAGAGGATGTTCCCAGTACATGCCACCAGGTGATAAGGGCCTAGGGACATCATAGTGAGCCTGGTGCAGATGACAAGGAATGGCTTAAAAGAAGTCACCATGCCTCTCCCTTCTGCTCTTTTTTTCCTTTTGTTTTTTTTTGGTTTTTTTTTTGAGACAGAGTCTCACTTTGTTGCACAGGCTAGAGTGAGTGCCGTGGCATCAGCCTAGCTCACAGCAACCTCAAACTCCTGGGCTCAAGCAATCCTGCTGCCTCAGCCTCCCGAGTAGCTGGGACTACAGGCATGCGCCACCATGCCCGGCTAATTTTTTCTATATGTATTAGTTGGCCAATTAATTTCTTTCTATTTATAGTAGAGACGGGGTCTCGCTCTTGCTCAGGCTGGTTTCGAACTCCTGACCTTGAGCAATCCGCCCGCCTCGGCCTCCCAGAGTGCTAGGATTACAGGCGTGAGCCACCGAGCCCGGCCTCCTTTTGTTTTTATAGGAATGGCTTCCCTGGAGGCTGACACTGCCCTTCTCTGGGTCTCTCTGCACAATGTGCATACATGAAAGAAAAGCAGAAAGAGCAGAGGCAAAGTGGTAGAACTACATGTGGCCACCCAGACTAACAAATAGGATTTATCTGAGCCTGAGGATTTGTGGACACTGCTGCCACGCTGATGACAAGGGCAAACAGGATGCATACGTAACTGGGCTGTACTTCAGATGGCAAAATCAGCTGCTTCTGACATGTAAGAAAGTGGCACAGTCTCTGTAAGATAAGCACACACCTTGTCTGTGTTACACACACAGAGAAAGGTACTTTTTAGGGGAATTTGGTAAAGGGCTCCCCCAAAGCAGCTGTTTAGGGGCACTGTCAGATGGCCCTGGCTGTGTCCTGGACCCCAAGCCCCAGTGCCTCTGAGCACCACATGACCTGGATTTGTGGACAGTTCACATCCATATTTAGGAGTGTGGCTGTGATTCATTCACCCATCGTCTAACCCAGGAGCTTTGCACCTCTTTGCAAAAAAAAAAAAAAAAAAAAAAAAAAAGGGAAGTCACTGCTTCCAGAAGTGACCAGATGTCCTCCCTCTTAAACAGATTTTCACATTATTCCCTAAGATCCATTTCTCTCTCCTAAGCTCATAGCTTACTATGACTTTTCACCTGGTCACACCTCCTTCTCTTTCAAAAAATCGAGATACAATTCACATACCATAAAATCAAACCTTTAAAAGTGTACGATACAGTGATTTTTAGTATTTTCACAAGGTTGTACAACCATGACTGCTATTTAATTCCAGAACATTTTCATCACCCGCAAACTGACATGTCTACTTGACAGAGCTATAGGATTACAGATCTTTCAAGCAGCAGCAGAAATTTTATGACTGCAAAAATCTGCTATAGTGAGGCAGAAAGTTATGGTTTTATCTCATTTAAGGTACAGCTTAAGCAGAAATCTACTTTGTTATCTATTTGCATAATATACTTTGAAGTATAACTTCAAACCTTTAAAATGACAATATACATGCAACTTAAAGGGCAACATACATATATTTAAGGAAATGTGGTTTGGGGGTAAATTGAAAAAAATCTGGAAAACTCTTTAGGACGTCCACACATGCAGAAGACAAAGCATGCCTTTATCATCCCTGTCCTCTCTGCTCTCAACTTTCTTTCCCTCTACTTGCAGATCCAGTTCTAGGACGACCCCTCTTATGAAAGGACTTTGTGGCTCCCCAGTACTTGTGCATCATGTGGAACCTGGCTTTGCTGGGCTCACTCCAACCCTGTGCCCCAGTTCCAATGACCGGCTCCTGGGCTTGCCCTGTGCATTGTAGTCTAGTGTTTATTAGAAAACTCAGTTCATCTGACACTCTAGCCTGTCTTGCTTTGCCATTCCTCTGAGGTCGAATATACTTGCCCCTCAATACTGCAGTACTGCAGGCCAGACTAGCTCCCTCCTTGCTCCCGACTCCCAGACTCTGCCTAAGTCCCACCTGCCTGGGCTCAGTTTCCTGTTAGCCTGCAGTGGATCTGCTTATGCCTGTCTCCTTCTACCTGGATGGGCATCCTCTGGGTGTCATTTTTAGTATGTGAATGAATGGATGTCCTTTGGCCAGACAGCTTGGTCCCTCCTGGTCTGACTCATCTTTCTGCCTACAGCATGTCTAGTTCTGATGTCTACCATGTCACCACTGGCCGTCTTGCCCACCAGCTGCTAGCAAGAGCCCGCAGGTGGCTCAAGACCCTCCTGGCAGCAGTCCTGCCCTGCCCTCTGTCTGGGCTTCTGACTTCCTTTTCCAAAATTTGGGCCTGACTCCATCCTCCAAGACCAGGCTTCCCATGGTTGCAAGCTGGTGGCTATTATTATTGGTAGCAATCCTAGTAAAGCAATAATTTGATAAAAACATGTCCCTGCTTAAGTGTTCTTAAGTAGCCTCCTAAGGAATGGGGGAATTTAGGCCTAAGGCTGTAGATTTTCGGTTACTGGGGTGACTTTGTGAGCCACTCTGTTGCCTCTCTCTGCCCAAGATACAGCAAAGGGAGCCTTTTGACGATTGAGTGGAGAAGCACAAATTTTCAGTTACTGAGATTTTTTTTTTAACTTACCTTTAAGCCTGACTTGTTTCCTTCTAAAATAACAGAGTCAAAGCTTTTGAATCATAGTTGTCTTCGTGAAGCAAAAGAGCAGAAACACTTAAAATTTTTCATCTTTTAAGTAGGGAATATAGTCACTTGATACAAAACTCAAAATGTCCAACACGCTATTTGGGGGAAAATCTCCCTCATTTTTTTGGGTGCATCCTTCTGGAATCAAAAGGAGAACTGATTCGTGATCCAAATGGGGGACTATTCTATATAACAGCTGCCATGGAGGCCAGCTAGGGTCAGGTCTCTGGTTCTTGTGTTTTGGGGAATATGATCTTACTTAAAGTACTTATAAGTCTTGTAAAAAACAGCCATGTATTGACAGGCTACAGTCCTTAATCAACAAGCTACAAATATTCTGTTTGGTCCACAGATTTACTTCAGTTAACCTTTTTTCTAATAGATCTCTCCTGAATTGGTAAGGAATATTAGAGTATGTTTATAGCAAATGTCCTCCACAAATAAAAATTCCCCCTGCAAGTTCCTTGGTAAGTCTGAAAAATGGGAGTTAAAATAGCAAGATAATTTGACTTCTTTTGCCTCACTTTTTTTTTTTTTTTGAGACAGAGTCTCACTCTGTTGCCCAGGCTAGAGTGAGTGCCGTGGCGTCAGCCTAGCTCACAGCAACCTCAAACTCCTGGGTTCAAGCAATCCTGCTGCCTCAGCCTCCCGAGTAGCTGGGACTACAGGCATGCGCCACCATGCCCGGCTAATTTTTTCTATATATATTAGTTGGCCAATTAATTTCTTTCTATTTATAGTAGAGACGGTGTCTCGCTCTTGCTCAGGCTGGTTTCAAACTCCTGACCTCGAGCAATCCGCCTGCCTCGGCCTCCCAGAGTGCTAGGATTACAGGCATGAGACACCACGCCCGGCCTTTTGCCTCACTTTTTGCATCTTTTTGTGTCTTGTGTACACTTGTTTCAGAGCATACAGGCTGGTGTTTATCTTAATGGTGACAGACCCTTCTAGAATTAGATGTCCACAATCTGTGCAAGGCTCTGGAAGGGAGGGGCAAGACAATAAATTACAAATAAAAATTCTCTTTATAAAGCCATGTGGATGTATTTCCTAAGCAAAGCCACATTGGGTTGAACTTTGAAAAACCATAAGCTGAGGAAACATAACATTTCAGCCAGTGGAGCTATAGAGACGAATGGATCTGTTTTTAGTAGAATACCGAAGGAAAGGTTAAATATTTATTTTTCATGCTGTTAACTCAATTGTAGTGAAAGTCATTGTGGATACTAAAATTACTTTCTTGCTCTACTGAAAATTCATGCT